ATCATTATTAAAAACCTGCCTACCAGAAAAAGACCTAGACCAGACAGAGTCACAGCTGAATTCTACCAGACATACAAAGACGAGGCAGTACAAATCCTAATGAAATTATTCTAGACAACTAAAGGGAAGGAATACCTCCCTTACTCATTGTATGAAGCCAGCATTATTCTGATACCAAAACCTGGCAGACACACACACACACACACACACACACACACACACACACACACAAATAAAATTTCAGGCCAATATCTCTGAGGAACATAGACACAAGACTCCTCAATAAAATACTAGCAAACCAAATTCACCAGCAAATCAAAAAGATAATTTACCACAACTGAGTAGGCTTTATTACAGGGATGCAAGGTTGACTCAACATATGCAAATCAGTAAATGTGATTCACCGCATAAATATAATTTTTTAAAAAAAACATGTTGCCATCTTAATAGATATAGAAAAAGATTTCAATAAAATTCAACCATTCCTCTATGTTAAAAACCCTCAACAAATTACACATTAAAGGAAAATATCAGAAAATAGTTAAGAGCCATCTATGTCAAACCCACAGACATCATCATACTGAAATGGCAAAACTGGAAGCATTCCTTTTAATTATTTGAACGAGTTAGAGATCTTCACTCTCACCACTCTTATTCGCCACAGTACTAGAAATCCTAGAAAACCCTAAAGACTCCACCAAGGGCTCCTACAACAGATAAACAACTTAAGTAAAATTTCAGGAACAACAATAACATACAAAAATCAGTAGCATTCTGATATGCCAACAGTAGTCAAGCTGAGAGCCAAATCAAGAATGCAATCTCATTTACAATACTCACAAAAAGAAAAAATATATCTAGGAATACAGATAACTAGATTGGACAAAGTTCTCTACAGTAAGAATTACAAAACACTACAAAAAGAAATCAGAGATGACACAAACAAATGGGAAAATTTTCATGATCATGGACAGGAATTATCAATATTGTTAAAATGGCCAGATTGTCCAAAGCAATTTAGACAAGATTCAGTGGTATTCTAGTCAAACTTCCAGTGTTAATGTTTCACAGAATTAGAATAAACTATTCTAAAATTAATGTGAAACCAAAATAAAAGCCTGAATAGCCAAAACAATCCTAAGCAAATGGAACAAAGCCAGAAGTATCACACTACCCAACTTCAAACTATACTGCAAGGCTACAGTAATCAAATCATAAAAAATATTTAAAAGACACACAAACCAGTGGAAAAGGTAGAGAACCAGAAATAAAGCCACAAACCTGTAACTACTTGATATTTGACAAAATCAACAATAACAGACAATGGTTAAAGGACTTCCTATTCAATTAATGGTGCTGGAATAACTGACTAGCCATATGCATAATATTGAAACTGGATGTCTTCTATTTGCCATATACAAGAATTAACTCAAGATGAATTAAAATCTTAAATTTAGTACCTAAAACCACAAACATATGAGAAGAAACCATAGGAAAATACTATTGTGGACATCAGCCTTGGGGCCTTGGGAAATATTTAATGATTAAGACCTCAGAAGCAATTGCAACAAACACCCAAAGTTGACAAGTGGGAATTAATTAAACTAAAGAGCTTCTGCATAGCTAAAGAACCTATCTAAAGGGTAAACAACTACATAATGGGAGAAAATATTCACAAATTATGAATCTGAAAATGATCTAATATACAGAATCTATACAGAACCTAAACAATTCACAAACAAAAATTTAAAATGGGCAAATAATACTAAAGGACACTTGTCTAAAGAAGATATACATGTGGCCAATAAATATATAAAAAATGCTCAACATCACTAATAATTAGAGAAACTCTACTCAAAACCACAATGAGATACTATCTCCCACCAGTCAGAATGATTATTATTTAAACATCAAAAGATAAGGTATGTTGGTAAGGTTGCAGAGAATAGAGAACACTTACATACTGTTGTTGGGAATTTAAATTAGTTCAGCCACTGTGGAAAGAAATTTGAAAATATTTCAAAGAACTGTGAGCTATCGTTTGGACCCAGAAATTCCATTGCTAGGTATATACCCAAAGAGGAATCAATTATTCTACCAAAAAGACACTGGCACTTGTATGTTCATTGCAGCATAGCAATGACATGGAATCACAATAGCAAAAACATGGAATCAACCTACATGCCCATCAAAGGTGGAGTGAATAATGAAAATGTGTACATATACACCATGGAATGCTATGCAGCCATAAAAATAATGAAATGATGCCCTTCGCATGGATGCAGCTGGAGACCATTATCCTAGTGAATTAATGCAGGAACAAAAACCAAATACAACATGTTCTCATTCACAAGTAAGATCTAAACTTTGGGTACACAAGGACATAAGGATGGGCACAACACACAGTGGGCATTATTAGAGGAGGCATGTCAGGAAGAGGGTGACAATTGAAAAACTATCAGGTACTATCCACTACCCGGATGATGGGATCATTCATACACTGGCCATCGGTGGCACACTATTTACTGACATAACCAAATGTGCACCTGTGCCCCTTGAACCTAAAATAATAGAAAACAAGAAATAACCATTGCACTTAGAAACATGAAAGTTACCAAAAATTTAACAAAGAGCATTTCTAGTGGAATTGTAGAGGCGTTAAGGCCAATGCAAGAGTAGCGAGTATGACTTAGTGGAGACATTAATTATTTATGTGAGCATAATTTTATCCAGACTTGTTCAACTCTAGAGACTTATGCAGAAATAAGGCATTTTCATTCCACTAGTATGAAATGTAGTGAAAAGGCAAGTTTATAGAGACAGAACATAAATTAATTGTTGCCTAGGGCTATGGTTGGAAACAGGAATTATCTGTAAATTGACAAGAGAGTTTTTATGAGGTGATGGATGAAAATGCCCTAAAGTGATTTATGGTGATGTCCTCAGCACAAGTTACTAAAAATACTGAATTGTACGGTTGAAGTAGGTGAATTTTAGGATATGTAAAACATATATCAATATTTTTTAAACCCATAGAATGCTTACATCCATAAAAATCTAAGCCAGAAGTTGCATTTTCCACTGCCCACCCCCTGTTTTGTAGCCAATAGATTTTACATCAAATATACCTAATACAGAACTTGGAGTTCTTGGGTTCAATTGTTTATGCTCAATTCAAAATTTATGAGGGTATAGTTTATCTCTTAGCTTCAAAATAACAAACTAATAAACTAAAATGCAAGGTTTTCATGAATTTAGAACTTTAGACCTAACGAATCTTATATTGGATTGATAAAGTAGCATGGGGAGAAATGACAGATACAGGTGAGGGGAAGGAAGGCAGCAAACCACACTACCATGTGTGTACCTATGCAACAATCTTGCATGTTCTTCACATGTACCCCCAAACCTAAAATGCAATAAAAAAAAAATCTACATTTTACTACATTCCTGATTTTAGGTAACATAAAATCAGGTTTTTTAAAAAAGATGTATCTAAACTTTTAAGGGAAAATAATATCTTATTATTTGTTACAAATTATCCTCTAATACATACTGTAGATTCTGAATAACCCTCCTGCTCAAGTATCACATGGCCTGCTTCCATGCCTCATGTCCTTTGCAGGGACATGGATAAAGCTGGAAACCATCATTCTCAGCAAACTGACACAGGAACAGAAAAACAAACACTGCATGTTCTCACTCATAAGTAGGTGTTGAACAATGAGAACACATGCACACAGGGAGGGCAACATCACACACTGGGGCCTGTTGGGAGTTGTGGGGACAGGGGAGGAATAGCAGAGGGTTGGGGGAGTGGGGAGGGATAACATTAGGAGAAATACCTAATGTAGAAGACAGGAGAATGGATGCAGCAAACCACCACAGCATGTGTATACCAATGTAACAGTCCTGCACCATCTGCTCATGTACCCCAGAACTTAAAGTATAATAAAAAATAAAATTCAAAGAAAACCTTTATAGTGAAGTGCTTACACCATGAATCATCATACTTTTCTCATGCCAGGGTTGCACATGTTCATTCATAGCTACAGTGGAATAATCCCAAATGGATTACTTGGATTCCACTTAAATGCTCTGCTGCCTCCATTGGGTAAGACACCCTTACCTCCTCCTGCTGATTAGAGCCTGTTTACATAACAGTGCAGTCATTGTTCTTTGTTTGTTCTTTTGTTTGCTATATAATCCCTGGACAGAGGATTCTAACCTGCTCTGCAGCATCTTCGATTTCTGAAAACGCAAAACTGGACGACTCTGCAAACCCTGTGAGCCCAGTAGAGGTGGGTTTTATATCCTCAGAGACATACATCCAGGAGTAATCTGAAATTTTAATGAACAGGTCTGGTGCATGGAATGAACTGGCTCTAGCACACCCATGCCAAGGGAACTTGTGAACAGCAGAGATGAGTCAGGCTCAATGGGGCCTGAAACATATAAAACTTGATAAATTCTAAAAATACAAAGTTAGGTTTATGACTCTGAAGAGAATCTGTACAAGTAAGTCACTCTTAATTTTTTGCTTCCTTAGCTTTACGGTAAATCTACTTTTGGCAAACAGGTATTTTAACACACTAAAGTGGGTATACAGCTTTCAAAAATGAGCAGCAGTAAGAAGACAGGGATTGGACTCAGATATCATTGGCGTAAATGCCACTGAAACAAGTCACAGACTAGCTAGAGGCTGGGAACTCTGAAGGAACAGAGATAGGTCAGACTTCAGGGAGCTTCTGGTCAACCCAAGAATCTTCAAGTAGAAGTGGAAATAGATACTTTCTGCTATGAGGCTGACTAGCAGTCCCTCTTGGCTTTATGAGATGAGGGTTTTAGGCTCCTTTCACTTCATTCAGAGCACCTTTCTGGATCCAAATTCGATAGGGTAGAATTTGGACTGCAAATAGAGAGAATACCATGGACATAAGTCATGAGATTCAAGCCAGGTGATTTATTTCATAGTTTAAAATCCTCAGCAGTGACAAGAGCAGTGGGAGAGAAATTGTGTTTTTTTCCTTCTTGGTTCAGGTCAGCTTCTGATAATGTATATGTTACTCTCCTCTCTCCAAGCATTAGCATTCAAGGTTGTTAGAGACTGGTGCTGCAGGAGAAAACAAAACAAAATACCAGTGTTGCTCATGGTTCTTTATTGTAGCTAACACATTCCTAACTCAAGTAATTTTAAAACTATAGGTGATTAAAAGCAAAACAATTAAGAAAATTAAAATTCCAGAAAATATTACCTGTTATCTTGACTGAAGATACTCTTAGTTTTATAACAGAAGTGACTTGTTGAAGTACACTGATTTTTTTGTCCACATTTGGTAACTATTTAGGTCAAAAATAAAGTGCTTTGGAAACTCCATTCTAAAAATATGCACTGATTGTATTTTAAAATTAAAAGTTCATAATTCTAGGTACCTTTTTGTTAGGTGACACCGATATGCACATGTGCACACACATGCATGCATGCACATTGATGTGTATATCTACGTAATGAAATTTTTTAATAATCATCATCCCTGGTGTTAGGACTAATGATGATTACTATCTCATTATTTTACTCACATATTTTTAATCAATGTTCATTATGTATTAGTACTATAATAATAAGAAGAATGATTCACACACTCACATACACACATTATGTATTGAAATAAGAAGAAAGTGATGGCAGATTCAAGCATTCCAATTTCTCTGGCTAGAAGAGAATCTTAACACCATTAAAAGTTAAAATCATTCTTTGGAACTTTAAAAAATGAAACCAGTTAAATATAAAATGAATTCAAAATGTTTGTTGTAAACATTAGTATAAAATTAAAAATGACAAAATATTTTAAAACCAAAATAAATATTTAAAAGCAGAAATTTATTAACAGTAGGCTAAATCTAAAATCCCAATTACATAACAGAAAAATGAGTGAAGGGAGAGATTTATTAAAGGTAAAATATACTAAGCTTCCCTCATACTAAAAGGAGTCTCAAAATGCCTCTAATTCCATATGTTCATATTTTGTATTTTCTACTTCTATTTCCATAGTCTTTATATAAATAGCTCAGCACTAAGTGACATAGTGGAAAATTACAAAGAAAATTCAATAAGGTAGTAAAATAAAAGAAGTAGAATTTAAAATATGCTAGGGCTCAGAAAGTATACCACTTGCATATCCAAACTAGCTAAAAAGTAAATAAATTATGAATGTTACAATTGGATACAATGGACTGATAATTTAATAACAGATACTTAAAAACAATGGAAGTCTTCATATTACACTATATTTATTCTTTGATATCTTCTGGGTATTTATCTCAGTCTATAACTGGACAACTGCTCACAGATATATATTCATACATACCTAAAAACTGGAAGTAGCATAAATATTCATAACGGACTTTTAAAATAAATGATTTTTATTTTAATTTGAATACTATATGCCGCAAAATGATATGACTGCATTTAAGATATAAAATTTTGTCCATAACATTCTCAAGGTAAAAAATAATATTTTTAATGCTTTGCTTAGAAAAATACTTGAGAAGACGTACATATAAATTGTTGGTGGAAATCTTCATTTATTGTAATTATGAAAATATTTATCTTAATTCATGTATCTACCAAAATTTCTCAGATATCTTAATCAGAAAATATACTTTTAAAAAATAAGCAGGCTGGGCATGGTGGCTCATGTTTGTCATGGCAACTTTTTGTGAGGTCAAGGCAGGAGGATCACTTGAGCTGAGGAGTTTGAGACCAGCCTAGGCAACGTAGGGATACCCTCATATCTACAAAAAATAATTTGCCAGAAGTGATGGTGTGTGCTTGTACTCTCAGCTACTTGAAAGGCTGAGATGGGAGAATCAGTTGAGCACAGGATATTGAGGCTGCAGTGAACTAAGTGAACTGTGATCCTGCTACTGCACTCCAGCTTGAGTGACAAAGTAAAACCTCCTGTCTTAAAAACTCAATGAATCAACAAACATATAAACAGGTTGACATTTTAATTCATGTTATTTAATACTAAGGTTTACCTGGATACCACATATACTTCTTCCATATGAATTTCAGAATCTTTTTCCTGATTCTCCTTGCCCATGTCTCCAAAAAATTTTGACTGAGTTTATGTGAAATAAACATAAACAGAGACCCAGATATACATATATTATTGATAATGGGAAAGAAGGCAATAAGATGTCAAGTCGGGTTGTTTCCAGTGTTTTGATCAATCAGTTCTGCCATTGAACATTCTTGTGCATGTCTCTTGACCCACACATGTGCACATTACTAATGGTACACGTCAGTGAGTGGAAGCTGCTAGACTGTAAAATACGAATTAGCCAATTCTTAATAATGGAAAAACTTCTTCCACTAAACCAGTCACTGATGCCAAAAAGTTTGGTACCGCTGATTAGAGCATCACTTATCTTTTTATATGCCAGTAAGATATCACTAAAATACAAGTGCTCCTACCCAATGCTAAAGAAAGAAAAAAACAAACCCATGATGTACATGCTCATAGATGTAGTTGCTAGTGTGAGTGCACAAAAATCTCTTCTTTAGTATAGGTCAAGAAGGAGAGGCTCAGATAGCAGAAAACCAAGTTTTATTATTTGTTATTATAAAATAACCTATAGTGAGAATTAAACAAATACACTAAAAAATGTTTGGTCTCAAACTAACCATTTTTAAGCGCTCCTAAGCAATGATCAAAACATGCAACGCAAAATGCTTCAACACGTAGTTCTACACTCACCTTTCACTGAGGGATAACTTGCTGCTGCTGCCGCTGCTGCTTTCTTCTGACACAGAGCTATAAAATTGATAAACTTCTTTTTAAAGTGAGGAAACTTGTAATTCTTGAACAATTAAATAACTGAATAAAAAATGTTCTTTAAAGAAACGCCATGATTCAAATAAGTGAAATGTCTCCTTTTAACAACTTAAACAGGTACTGTGTTTCAATATTAGAACAAATGCTATAAGTTACCTCACTCTGGGAATTGAGTCTTCTCATTCTACATTAATCAAGAATTAATGTTTATAAACCCACATTTGTGTACTCAGGTCCCATTATTCTGTGATATCCCTAATTCCTCAGTTCCAATAAGCCAAACCATAAAGTAGCACTCAGAAAGTTTAAATACTTTTCTATACAGTTCAATATATTTCTTTCTCTCTCTCAGAAAATATAAATATGTTTGATCTTTGCATCAGTTCTTGGAGTGTAAAACTAGATGTAAATATATCTGTGATGAAATACTGGAAATTATGAATAAGGGGCTCAATATGATATTTAAAAATTTGTATACCGATTACGGATAGCATGACGATCTTCCTCATTAAATTGATGTACCCAAAAGTTTAGATTCTAACTCTTCTAATATATCCCATTCTGTAGAATTACAGAGAATAATATTATGTAAAAATTAAATCACTTGCTCAAAATATCACAGTGTTACATGCAAGATTGACAACTTAAAACAAGGTCTCCTGAAGCTAAGTGTAATTCTCTTCCTACTGCACGGTAGTGCCTCCTGCTTCTTGAACCAGCCATGATTAACTACACATTTCTAGTTAAGAAATGTTTACAAATCAGCAATATCTATATTTAGAAAAAATAAATATTTTCAAATATTTTAGGTTTATAGATATTATCTCTAACTGAGAGAGGTGTTCTAATAAAGACATTTATCACTGACCTGAGAATCTGTATCTGATAAATTTAGTTTTGGGAAGTTCTCTTGAAATGCAGTGTCATATAATTCTCATGGAGCTCATAAGTGATATGACTCTACAGACAGGGTCAGTAAACTAAGAGGTTAAACCAACCTCCAAAAGTCCCCTGGCAGCCATGTCTGCCCCTACCATACTAGTGGTAAACTGGGTAGTTTTAGTAATTTGTAAGATGAGAGACAATATCAAGACGAATAACAAAAGGGCATCAAACCATTTAAAAATGTCTCCCTGTGCCTCTCCTTATGTTGCCTTACCTATAGTTGGAGATTATTCCTGATGAAATGTGAATACATTTTTCTTGTCTTTCTTAATGTAATTAAGAGTAAATATACATGTGTATGTATTTTTACATACATGTGTGTATGGTACATATGTGTGTGTGTGTGTGTGTGTGTGTGTGTGTGTGTATACCTCTCACTTTCAGTTTCCCCTCTGTAGCATAGCTCTCTCAATTTTTTCCGTTTTATTAAAACGGCAGTAGTAATAATAAGCACAGGTAGAGAGATGTAGAAAATGAGTTGGAACCGTTGTTTCGGGAAAGTGGCATGTCTTTCCTCCTCCATATAGCTTTTCTCTGGAATGAAAAATAGCAATTTTAAGTTATTCCACAGATTTTATCAACACAATGAAAAAGAGAAGATATCATTACCAACATCATTTCCAAACATTAAGCATTTCTTTCACATATATAAAATGAATATAATAAAAACAAAAACACTAATGTATAAAATGGGATCTTACTAGAATTTTATTGATGATTTTTGAGTTCTCAGCCTTCCAGCTTATGATGAACTAATATCTTATTTGTTTCTCTGGAGAACCCTGACTAATACAGATTTTGGTACCAAGATATGAGCTGCTGCTCTAAAAACTACCTAAAAATGTAGCAGTGTCTTAGGAACTGGGTAATGGATAGAGGTTGGAATCATTTTAAAGCGCAAATTGAAAAAAAAAAAAAAAAAAAAAAGCCTAGACTGCAATAAAGGGTGGTTGATAGAAATACAGATACTCAAGGTGATTCTGGTAAGAGCTCAGATAATCATGAACAGAATGTTGGTAGAAATATTAATATTAATGAAAAAATGCTCATCATCACCGGTCATTAGAGAAATGCAAATCAAAACCACATTGAGATACCATCTCACACCAGTTAGAATGGCGATCATTAAAAAATCTGGAGACAACAGATGCTGGAGAGGATGTGGAGAAATAGGAACACTTTTACACTGTTGGTGGGAGTGTAAATTAATTCAACCATTGTGGAAGACAGTGTGGCGATTCCTCAATGACCTAAAAATAGAAATCCCATTTGACCCAGCAATCCCATTACTGGGTATATATCCAAAAGATTATAAATCATTCTACTATAAGAACACATGCACACGAATGTTTATTGCAGCACTGTTTACAATAGCAAAGACCTGGAACCAACCCAAATGCCCAACAATGATAGACTGGATAGGGAAAATGTGGTACATATACACCATGGAATATTATGCAGCCATCAAAAACGATGAGTTTGCGTCCTTTGTAGGGACATGGATGAACCTGGAAACCATCATTCTCAGCAAACTGACACAAGAGCAGAAAATCAAACACCGTATATTCTCACTCATAGGCGGGTGTTGAACAATGAGAACACATGGACACAGGGAGGGGAGCACTACATGCTGGGGTCCGTTGGGGGGAAATGGGGGAGGGACGGGGAGGTGGGGGGGTGGGAAGAGGTAGCATGGGGAGAAATGACAGATACAGGTGAGGGGAAGGAAGGCAGCAAACCACACTGCCATGTGTGTACCTATGCAACAATCTTGCATGTTCTTCACATGTACCCCCAAACCTAAAATGCAATTAAAAAAAAAGAAATATGAATATTAAAGGTGCTACAAGTGAGGTCTTAGAAGTAAAGCAACATATTACTGGACAATGATGGAAAGGTCATTTCTGTTATAAAGTGGCAAAGACTTGGCTAAATTGTGTTCTAAAGTTTTGTGAAAGATAGAATTCACAAGCTGAGATAACTCCTAGGCAAAATGTTCAACGTATAGCCTGACTCCTCCTGACTGCTTATAGTAAAATGGAAGAGAGAAGAGATGATTAAAAGGCAGGTGCTGAACAATGAGAACACATGGCCACAGAGAGGGAAGCATCACACACTGGGGTCTGTTGGTGGGAATAGGGGAGGGACATCTGGTATTAGGGAGGTTGGGGAGGGATAACATGGGGAGAAATGGCAGATATAGGTGATGGCGGGATGGAGGCAGCAAACCACATTGCCATGTATGCACCTATACAACAATCCTGCATGATCTTCACATGTACCCCAGAACCTAAAGTACAATAAAATATATGTATATGATAAATAAAGAAAGTAATTGAAGTAATTGTTAACCAGAAATTCTCAGCCTATCCATATTTCCAAAAATCAGAACACGTGTTCTAGAGAGAATACCAAGGGTGCAGCTAGAAAATCATTGATAAAGAGACTATGGACATGAATAATGGAATTTAATCAGCCATCTTGGCAGAAACCAGAAATGTAAGACATTACCAGCATAGATAGAATTATACTGGCAGAGACACTGTCAGTTGGAAATGAAGAAAAAAGAATTGGACAGAAGGGCTACTTGGCTATGAGCATGCTTTATCTTTCAAGAAAAGTAAAGAATAATTGCGCCTGTGACTCAAAGATTATCAGGGTTGCCACAGATCAAAGGACCAAGGCTACCTTCTCTTTGGTTACAGAGGATGGGGCCTCCTTTTAAATTTCAGTGGACCAGGTTGTCCGATGGTATGGACAGGGGAGCCTCCCAAGTCAAGGGAGTGAGGTTGCCACCTAGGATTGTGGAGGGAAGAACATTAAGCCAAGTAGGATTACTCTCAAGCCGAAGATACAATGGAACTTGCACTACTAAGTTCTGGAATTGCTTGAAACTGATCACCTCCTCCTTCCTTCTAATTGCTCCCTTTCTGAATGGGATAAGCATAGCTTATTTCACCATTATATTTTGGAAACACATAATTCATCTGGTTTTACAGGGTCACAGCTGGGGAGAAATTTTGTCTCAAAATGAATCATATCTCAAAATTTACCCATTCCTGATAGATACTAGTCAGATGAGACTTTGTACTTAAAATTGATCCTGGAATGGCTTAAGGCTTTTGGGACTCTTGGTATGGGATGAATGATTTTTTGCATGTAAGAACATGAATTTGAGAGACACAGAGTAGAATTTTATGGACTGACTTGTGTCCGTCTAAATTCATATGTTTAAGCCTCAACCCCCAATGTGATGATATTTGGAGATGAGGACTTTGAGAAATAATTAGACTTAAAAGAGGTCATAAGTGTGGGGTCCAAATTCGATGGGATTGTTGTCTTTATGAAAACAGAAGAGACCAGAATGCATATGCTCTTGCCCTCCCTCTCTCTATCTCTCACTCTCTCTGTCTGTCTCTCTCTCTCTCTCAATATCTCTCTCCATTCACAGAATTATTGTTGAAAAGATGTGACAAAATGACTATTAATTGCAGTTTACATCACTTAAAAAATGTTAGCCCCCAACAAAACAAACTAAGACTTCTCGATATAGTGATAATCCATTGATCAAACCTATGCACAAAAAACAGCAGATTTCCTTCATGTAACAAGTCATGTTAAAATGCCAAGACAAAAAATATCTCCCAATAGCCAATTTTTAACAAAACCATACTCTTTTAAAAAGTGATATATTTCTGATCTATAAGCTCTTATTATACCTATACATGGATGGAAGACACAAAAAGATACCACTTCACGCCCATCAAAATGGCTATCAGAAAAAAAACAAAAACAGAAAATAACAAGTATTACCCAGGATGTGTAAAAATTGAAACATGAAATACCTCATGCACCGCTCGTGGGAATGTAAAACAAAGTCACCTTATATTAATATTTTATACTTTATTCTTTTCCCAGTAATCTTCCACACTAGTCACTAACCTGAAGTTTTCCTGTCCCAGGGACAAATTCACACGTGTATAAGACTTTCAGTACTACAACTAGGATAAGTTCTAGGCAAACCTGTGTGATTGGTGTCCTAGACCTAGCACTCTAATTCCAGGTAGAAGTCCAGATGGCAGCACATGAGCCTGCAGTCATAGAAAACCTTCTAACCCAACTAGTTTCCTTTAGCCAGCTGCCATGGGCTTTTCTTTCATCTCTCCCATTCTGGGGCTTACTCGTCTACCCTGAAAGACCTGGGCTGATAAGCTAGGTGGCTGTATGTTTTGTCCCTATGCAGTCCCTTCTGAGGCCCTGTACCCAGCCATGGAGGCCTCGGGCTTTCCCCAGTAAAGCCTGGACTCAACGTGGGAGAAACACTTGTGATCCTGAATGCATTTTAGGGCATTAAGAGTTTGGGTTGCAAAGGTCACCTCAGTGAGTTCAGGTTTACTTCATTATCCTTATTCTACTTATTTTTTAATATCACTGATTTGTGTTAACATAATATGACCAAGAAAAAATGTCAAATTGTGGATTTTATGATTGCCTTAATTGTAAGCCAAAAACATTATCAATTTTTGTTACTATTTCATGGATATTTTAAAAGAATTTGTAATCTGCTTTTACAGTATTATGGATATAGATATAATCATATAAACATATGTACATAATTGAATATACATGTGCTTTTATATGACTGTTTTTTGCATGTGCTAGAGTTTAAATTTGCATATATTTTTGTCTAATTATCTACTTAGTACACAAAATTCTAAAGAGTATATTTTAATCTCTTTATGATTTTTCTTTTTATACTTTTCATTTTATCCTAATCCCCAGAGATAACCATTAATAATATTACATACATTCCTGATTTTCAGAGGTTATTATCAACCGTTTTAATCTTTGACAAGCTCATAGGCCAGAAAAAAATTATATTTTACTTGCATTTTTTTAATTTTATGGGGCTTCCCACTTACTTGATGGTGATAGGAAATTTTTAATTTTTCTGTGAATTACTATTTCATCACCTTTGTTTCTCTATTCTATGGGTTTGTTTGACCTTTTATAATATACACATGCAAACACAAACACACTTAAGTGTTGTACGGTTATAAGTTATAGACTAAATTATTATGTTTTTGTTTGTTTGTTTGATACATAGTTTCATGTGGCTTCGTACTGTCTTTTTAAAAGTTGATCACCTGAGGTTTGCCTTTATGTAGCATCCAAGCTACAGATAAGTCTGCTCCAAAGTTTCAGGACTTTCTTGCAAGGTCCTAAAAGAGATGGGAATAGAGTTGGAAGCCCACCTATGTCCCGGTTATTTTGGGTAGGCTCATACCTTCTAGAACCAGGGTATGCCCTTCCCTTCCAGTTGTCCCCAATTTATCTATGCCTGATTAATCTCAAAATGCTACTCAGGAACCTCAGGACAGGATTAGAAAGAGCAAATTTCCAAAATTAGCATAGAGCCCTTACAATACAGGAGAAAGATTACTAAACTATGAAGTGAATAGGAAGAAAAGACAACCTGAAAGATTCTAGAGGCACGAATATAGCAATGACTATACAGACACTATTATAAATGAGAAATATAGTAGGCAATCCAAAGTGAACAGTTTAACTGGTTGGCCAGGTGCGGTAGCTCATGCCTGTAATCCCAGCACTTTGGGGTGCTGAGGTGGGTGCATCACGAAGTGAGGAGTTAGAGACCAGCCTGGCCAAGATGGTGAAACCCCATCTCTACTAAAAATACAAAAATTAGCTGGACGCAGTGGCAGATGCCTGTAATCCCAGCTACTTTGGAGGCTGAGCAGGAGAATCGCTTGAATCCTGGAGGCAGAGGCTGCAGTGAGCAGAGATCACATCACTGCACTCTAGTTTGAGTAACAGGGCAAGATTCCACCTCAAAAAAAAAAAAAAAAAAAAAATCAACTGGTCAAATTTTATGCACCAAAGTTTCTTCTTTTAAAATTGTCTAACATTGGCCATACTTTTTCTCAGTAAACAATATCAATGCCGATATAAAAAGAACAGTACAAACTTATACTGTCAAAATTTTTTAAATCTTACAAATAAAATAAAAGCATATTTGTTGACATTAGTTGCTTTGTAATCTGGCTTGAAACCTATAATTTATCTTCTTACATACTGTACATAATTAATACAATTTTAAGAAACTAACCTTGTAGGACTAAGTGACCATCATCAATACTTCCAAACGCTCCTTTTTTTGGTTTGCAGTGAGGAGGATTAAACCCCTCTGCACAATGGCAATGGTTAAAATTATTGCAAACCTTAAATAATAAAAAAACAGAATAGCTTCAATGGAGACTAATGAATAATCTATACTTAATCCACAGAGTATCTCATTCTAGAGAATTTATCTAAATAGATAAATGTATCAAATTTTCTCTTGCTAATGCTCATATTATGAAAAGTACATCTAGCTTTTGTTGTCAAATCAAATATTTTTCTAAAAAATTCTTTTAACTCCACCCACAGCCAGGCCCAAATATCTCAAATTATCAGTGACCTGTCACTAATTATAATCTACTTGCTAGTTGACAGCCCAGACTCTAAATTAACTTGCAAGACTAGAAAGAAAATTCTACTGATCTTTATTTACCAGTTTCTGTCTTCTCTTGCTTATAGCACATCCACCTCACATGTTTATCAAACATTTTATACATCCACAATCATCTTAAATGCTTTCTCTTTGTCTTCTCTAATAAATAGTTTGATATGTTTCTTAAGAAGACAAAATTGATATTATAAATTATAGACTGTTAAATGACATGAAAATGGCAAACAAAAAAAAGCCATTCATTTTTTAAAATCCCCAAATTGTTAGATTGTTAAAAGAAGGCTTCTGAAAATAAACATTGCAGTTACTTACTCCATGACGATTGCAATCAGCAGAAAAATTACACAAATTAAAATCCATCAGGAATCTAACATGCTTACAATCCATTTCGAAACAGTACTAAAAACAAAGCAAAAAAAAGTACAAAATAAAGTCAGTGAAAAAATCAGATTTTGTGCATAGCTAATACCTTTAAAAATTCAAGAAAGTACCAGAATTCATATTATCTAAAATTTGCATTAAAAGCTATGAGTGTCCAGTAAAAAAATAATTGTGACTGCATTGAAGTAAACATGAAATAAACTATGCACATTCAGCTTGTAAAGATGTAATCCTATGTAAGAAGCCAGAGATGTTATTTTTCTTTCCATCTAGTACCAGAAGCAACTTAGAAAGATAAATTACTGGAAAAACAACTTGATTAGCTCTTTGAGTTCAAGAATTATCTGAGGAGCATTTTCAAATATACTAATGTGCTCCCCTCGAGAACATTATATCAAAAACTCTGGGGAGAGGATCCAGTTGATTCTCAGAAGCAGCCAGGTTTGAGAACTACTGAGCAGAGAGGTGAGATCTTACTTTTTTTTTTAATTGTACTTTAGGTTCTGGGGTAAATGTGCAGATCACACAGGATTGTTGCATGGGTGAGATCTTAAAACCATGAGTATGAGCAGCAAAGGAAGATCGTTTACTATTCCACGTGACAAAATGCAAAGAAAGCGGAAAGAAAGGACAACAGGTCATCATTATATGAGGTAATAGGACAATAGGAAACTCCCATTGGTGAGACAGGTAAAAGGCCTGCTAAGAAAAAAAAAAGTTTAAGGGTTAAATTTACATCTTTCTAATTTATGGCAGACATTTATGTGATCTTCTTTAATTAAAAAAAAAATTCTAAATTTACCACTTTGTGAAAGAGTTTTATATTTGGAGTGAGTTTTGTCTTTGGGTCATTATGATGACAGGCAGAAACAGGAGAGTCAGGACTCTGTAATGAAGGTTGGAGCTAATACAATTTAGATTTCAAGGGTAAGGGAGGCTTCAGATCATATTTGTATTCCATATGTTTCAAAATGAGCAAGAAATAACAGGTACTTTGTTTTTTTCATGTGTTATTTAATATCAAAATGTTACTAAATGGAAATAAATTTGTATTCAGAAGCTTTCTCTCAAAAACCGTATGTTAATTTAACTTCACATGGTATCTTGACTTAAATCAATTAGAATATTAAAATAGCATTAAATATTTTGTTAATTTATAGAATACTAGATGTGTCTAACAATGTTACATAATTATTTTATGCTACATTGTTAATGTTGTTTTTATATTTTGATGTTATATAAGTAATAACCATAATGTGCATTATATTATAGTAGAACATAATATTTTAATACTAGTTTAATTAAAGTATTCATCTACCAATCAGAAAAAAATCAGAGTTAATTATAAAAATTAAAACCAGCATACATTGGCTTTTCTATTGAAACAACAAATGCAATTCAAAAAAATGTTATTGCAAAAACCATGCTAATGAAGAAAAATTCTTGATCACATAATATCTTACTCAACAAAAACTATTTGTCATCTGAGATCTCCAGCTCTTGTCTAAAAATTTACTCATTAATAATGTATGCAAAATTACTAGATTACATATCAGAATATAAAAAGAAATTATGTATAAAAATTACTAAAATGTAATATTCTGTTAGAAAGAAGTGTGGAGATCACTAATAACATATACTGCTGAACTTGTATTGCCTAACTTTTCAATATTATATTTAAACATTCTTTAAGAGGGCCACCTAAGGTCCACCTAAAGATTACTTAATCATCGGAGTGAAAGCTTATATCATATAAAGACATTACCAGGAGAATAGGTAGAACAGAAAGGAGAGATGGAAACCTAACAAACATATTAGCACAGGAGGCCTGTTTGAATGTGCAGGTCTGAGACCGTTTTCTCTATCCGGAGACATAAGGAGAGTGAGAAACTTGAAACCAGATAGGGAACTCCACCACACCTCTCCCTGACAGAGAGACATGTTGTTGGCTTGCCTGAGGAATCTACTATCCTTCCAGTAGGCACCAGCAAAGACCATGGAGAGCCCCAGTGGCAACAGATAAACCAAGCCAACCAAATAACATTGTAAAGGTTCTCAAAATTAAACTGCCTTTGGAACGGCCCACAAAAGAAGGCCAGACCTAAACAATATTACTTCCTGCTAAAACAGAGCTTTATATTGACACAGAGTCTGCTAACATAATAAATACAATTCCTAGATCCAACTAAGGTCATTCCAAAAGCTAAGAAAATCACACCTTGAATCTTAAAAGACAACTAACGATATCAGAACCAAGGTGATTCAGATGATGGGATACATGACAAGGATTGTAAGGCAGCCATTATAGAAATACATCAATAATCAATTACAAATCTTCTTGAAACAAATGAAAATAAATACAAAAATCTTAGCAAAGGAACAGGTGATATAAAAATGAACCAAATGGGAATTACATAATGAAAAAATGCAATAATCTAAATTTAAAAAAAAAAGCCTAATGACTGAGCTCAACAGTAGAATGAAGATGACAGTGAATAGAATCAGTACACCTGAAATAGCAAAGAAATGTTTATTAAAAATCTTGGAACATCACAAAGGAAGGAAATATCAAGGAAAGGAAAATGGGTAAATAAAATGGACTATCAATTCCTTTAAAGGTTTTTAAAATTATAGTTAATGATTGAAACAAAAATTATAACATCGCCAATAACATTTAAATGTAAGGAAGGTAAATACAACTAAAATGGAAGTGAGATTGTTTTCTCATTTCACTCGAAGTGGCAAAACTTTTATTGTAGCAGTCTCTTTGGGCCACATATATATATATATTGTAAAACCTTGAGCAGCCACTATGAAAACTACATAAAGAGATGGATGACTTAGAAACATCATAACTGGATCAAGAGAGCATCCTAAAAAATGCTTAAGTCATCCACTGAAAGGCAAGAAAAGAGAAAAATAAGAATAGGAACCAGAGGAAAGAAGTAATGAAATTATAGAAACTTAAGCAATAATATTATACCAATCAAAAGACCATGCCACACTGTATTAAAGGCATGACTCAACTATGTGATGCTTTTAAAAACTCACCCCAAATTCAATGGCAGAGATAGATTTAAATAAAAAGGACAGAAAAAAATATACTATTCAAACATTCGTCCACAAAAGCAGGAGTAGCTATATTTACATCTGATAAAGTAGACTTCAGAGTAAATAAAATTACCAAAGACAAATGAAGACAATATGTCATGATATAATAATCATTCCAATAATAATATATGATTATCCTAAATGTGTACACCCCAAACCACAAAGCCTCCAAACACATGAGGCAAAAAGCAATACCACTAAAAGGAAAATAGACAAATCCACAAATGCAACTGGATATTTTGACACCTTTGTCTCAGCAATTTACAGAAATTATACAAAAAGTCAACAGATATACAGGAGTCCCAACAAATTAGAATTTAATTGACACATATACAGGTCACTGCCACCAGTATCAACAGAATAAACATTTCTACAAGTGCCTATGAAATATGAAGCAAGATATATTATATTCTGTATCATAAAAAAACCTCAACAATTTTTTAAAAAATTAAAATTATGAGAATATGACCTCATAATAAAATCAAACTTGGAATCAATGAAAGAAATACAACAGGAAAATCTCTAAATATGTTGAAATTAAATAATACATTTATAAATACTTCATGTATCAACCCTCAGTAAAACTAAAAAAAAAATACATAGAACCAAAAGGAAACAAAAATACACATTAAAATATGTAGGATGCAGCTAATATAGTTCTGAGAGGGAGATTTATAAGACTAAATGCTATGAATGAAGAAAAACCTCAAAGAAATAATTGAAGTTACCACTTCAATAGAGGAATGGAAGAAGAAGTTAAACTCAAGTAAAAGAAAGTAAATTATAATAAAAGCAGAAATCAATAAAATTGATTGCAAATTCCATGTAATATTAAAAGCTGGAAAATAATAAAGAAAACCAATATAACAAAGAGTGGATTCTTTAAAATTTTTTATAAAATTAATAAATTTTTAGCAAGATCGAGAAAACCCATGAAACAAAAAGCAGATTCTTTAAAAATTTTTATGAAAGTAATAACTTTAGCAACACTGAGAAGTAAAAAAAGAAGACACAATTCACAAATATCAGAAATGAGAGAGAGGATATTATTGCAGATCTTGCAGCCATTACACAGAATTATAAAGAAATACAATGAACAACTTTACATTTGTAAATTCAGAAACTTTGAGGAAATTGACCAATTTCTAGAAAACCATGAACAACCAAAAATCACCAAGAAACAGCTTATAATCCAAAGACCATTACAGCAACTGAAGAAATCGAATTAACAGTTTTAAACCTCCTAAAAATGAAATTTCCAGATCCAAATGCTTTCACTAAATAATTCTGTCAACCTTTAAATTAAAAATTAACAACCATTTTACACAATCTCTTTCCAAAAATAGAAGAGTGAAAACAGTTTTCAATTAATTTTATAATGCTACATAAAATAACCAAAATCAGATAAACACATTGCAACAAAAAAACAGACTAATACCCCTCATGAATTTGGTTACAAAAATTATTCAACAAAATATTAACAAACTAAATGCAACAATTTATTTAAAAAAGTATATACAATTACCAAGTGATATTAATACCAAGTATCTAATGCTGGTTCTACATTTAAAATTTTATTAATGTAATCCAACATTCAATGAACTAAAGAAGAAAAATCATGTGACCACATCAATTGACACACATAAAGCATCTGACAAAACACAAGACATAATTATAATAAAAACCCTCAATAAATTAGTACTAGAAGATGGTTAGCTCAACTTAAGGGGCATCTACAAAAAAACAAAAATCCTACATCTAATATCATACTTCATGATGAAAGATTTAATACATTCCTCTTAGACTAGGAAAATATCAGGGACATCCTCTCTCAGCACTCTTATTTAACATGATACTGTACGTTCTAACCACTGAAATAAAGCAAGAAAAAGAAATTTTAAAAATACAGACTGAAAAGGAAAAAATAAAATGGTCTCTATTTCCAAATTATTTTCTACATTAAAAAAAAACCCAAGGAGTCCACAATCAACTTCCTACAACTAAGTTAACACAGGACGGTTGCAGGATAAAACATCCCCACCCAAAAATCAAGAAGAAAAGGGGAAGGGACTCTCTATCTAATAAATGATTCTGAGAAAACTGGTTAGCCACATGCAGAAGAATGAAACTGGACCCCTGTCTTTCACAATATACAAAAATTAACTTAAACCTAAACCTAAAACTTAAACCTAAAACCTGAAACTATAACAATTTCAGAGAAAGTCTAGGAAACAACACTTCCGTACAAAAAATTTAGGACTAAAGCCCCAAATAGAACGTAGGACTAAACTCCAAAAGCAAATACAACAAAAATAGATCAATAATGGGATTTAATTAAACTAAAAAAGTGTCTACAAAATAACAATAAACACACAACCTACAGAATGGGAGAAAATATTTCCAAATTCTGCATCCAACAAAGAACTGATATCCAGCATCCACAAGGAACTCAACAACTCAAGTGAAAAACAAATAATCTCAGTAACAAGTGGACAAAGGACATGAATAGACATCTCTCAAAAGAAGACATACAAGTAGCTAGCAAACATATGATAAAATGCTGAGCATCACCAAAGTACAGAGAAGTGTAATTTAAAATTATGATGCTATCCCATCTTACACCAGTCAGAATGGCTATTCTTAAAAAGTCTGGAAACAACAAATGTTGGTAAGGATGTGGATAAAAGGTAACACATACATATAATTATATATGTGTAAAGAAAAAGTAACGCATATACATATTTCATGTGGAGAAAAGGTAATGCTTATATGCATACTTCATGTATAAAGGTAACACATATACATAATACATATAATAAATGAATTATATATCTATGTATAAAAGATATATAATACATGACTTACTACATAGCAATAAAAAAGAATTAAATCATGTCCCATGCAGTACAACAACATGGATAAAGGTGAAGACCATTATCGTACATGAACTAACTCAGAAACTGAAAATCAAATAATACATGTTCTCAACTATAAGTGTAAGCTTAAAAGATGGGTACATATAGACATAAAGATGGAAAAAATAGACACCAGGGACCCCAAAAGTGGGGAAGAATCAGGAGGTTCTTACTTAAAATAAGAAAAATAACTTACTGGGGACAATGTTCACTAATCAAGTGGCAGTCACACTAGATGCCAAAACTTCACCAATACCTGCACATATACTCCCTGAATCTATAAAAATTTAAAAATAAATTATTTGATGTATCAAAATTTTAGAATAATAATTTCTAATAAAAAAGTAAATTAAAAATTTGGAAAAATAATCTAAATAAAATTCTAAACTTCACAAACTATAGATGTTATACAAAATACTCTTAGGCAACCAGTGGATCAAAGAAGCAATCACTATGGAAATTTGAAAATACTTAGAAACAAATAGAAATATAAATACAACATTCCAAAACCTATGGAATGTAGTGAAAGAAGTTCTAGGGGAAAAATTTCTTAGTATAAATGCTTAGAATAAAAAAGAAGAAAAATTTTAAATCAACAACCTAATTCTACAACTTAAGAAAATAGAAAAAAAATTTTAACAAAATAAACTAAATTCTATCAGAAGGAAGGAAATAAAGATTAAAGCAGAAATGAAATATAGAGTAAAACAATAAAGTTAATAAAACCAAAAATTGGTTTTTTAAAAAGATGAACAAAATTGACAAACATTTATCTAGACATACTAATAAAGAGAGAAAACTCAAATTACTAAAGTCAGAAATAAAAGTGAGAACATTGCTACCAATTCTACAGCAATAGCAAGGATTATAAGAGCACTGAGAGCAGTTGTTTACCAATGAACTGGATAAGTTTGACAAAACTGACAAATTCCTAGAAACACAAAACCTACCAAGACTAAATCATAAAGAACTTAAAAACCTGAACAGACTTCTAACTCATAAGGAGATTTAATTAATAATCATAAACCTTCTTAGGAAGAAAATTTCTGGGCATAATGGCTTCAAATATGTAAAGAAGAATTAACAACAGTCTTTCTCAAATTTTTCCAAAAACATAAAGAAGAGGAAACGTCTTCTAACTCGTTCTATAAGGCCAGCATTATCTTGATATCAAAGCTGACCAAATACACTACAAAGAAAAAATACAGACCAATAATCATTATGAACATAGATGCAGAAATCCTCAGTAAAATGCTAGCAAACTACATAGTGTATATTAGAAGGTATATACACTATGACCAATTGAGATTTATTTCTGAAATGCATGGATGGTTCAATGTATGATAACTGATCAACGTGATAACCACAAAAAAAATGAAGGAGAAAAACAAAATGATCATCTTAATTGATGAAGAAAAGGCATTTAACAAAACTCAACACATTTCATGATATAAACACTCAAAGTGCACTCAGTCATGAGGTAGAAGAAAACTACCTCAGCATGATAAAATTTCATATATAAAAATCCCATACTTACATTATACTTAATGATAAGACTCTGAAGCTTTTCCTTTAAGATCAAGAACAGGGCAAAGATACTTCCTTTCACCACTTTTATTCAACATTATAATGGAAGTTCTAGTTAAAAATATTAGGCAAGAAAAAGAAAGAAGAGGCATCATCCAAATTGGAAAGCAGGAATTGAAACTTTTATGTTTCCAGAGGACATAATTTTATAGGTAGAAGACTCTAAAGATTACACCAAACTGTCAGAAATAACAAACATATTCAACAAAGTGGCAAAATAGAAAATCAACATTCCAAAACTGGTTCCATTTCTATACAGTAACAATAAACATTATGAAAGGGATACTATGAATACATTTCCATTTATGATAGCATCAAAAAGTACTTAAAACAAAGTACTTAAGAATTAATTTAACAAAGGAGTTTAAGATGTTCATACTATTCAAAGTGATCTACAAATTCAATACAATGACCATAAAAATCCCAATGACTTTTATTACAGAAATAGAAAAATTTATACTAAAATTTATATAGAATCTCAATGAACCCCAAAAGCAATCTTAAAAAAGAACAAAGCTGAAGGAGTCACATTTCCCAATTTCAAAACTTACTAGGAAGCTACAGAAATGAAAACAGTGTGGTACTGGCATAAAGACTAATACATTACCAATGGAATAGAATAAATGGCCCATAAACAAAGGCTTGCACATATGGTCAAAAGATACCACCAAATTTTTACAGGTGTGCTGAGACCATTTAATGGAGAAAAAACAGTCTTTTCAACAAATGGCACTGGAGAAACTAGAGTTCCACATGCAAAAGAATAAAACTGAACCCTTATGTGGCTTTAACACCACATACAAAAATGAACACCACATACAAAATGAACTCAAAATGGATCCTACAACACCACCTACAAAATGTGTCTGTATAGCACCACATACAAAAATGAACTCAAATGGATCATAAAGGTAAACATGAGACCTTAAAACTATAATACTCTTAGAATAAAATATAGGGTAAAAGCTTCATAATATTGATTCTGCCAGCGATTTATTGTATACATCAAAAGTAGACACAACAAAAGAAAAAAATAGACTAATTGGATTTCATAATTGTTTTTCATTGTGCATTAAAAGGCACTATCAACAGAGTAAAAAAGCAACTGAAAGAATGAAAGAAAATATTTTAAATCATATAAGAAGAGTAATATCCAAAATATATAGAGAATTCCTAAAACTCAACAACAGCAAAAAAGGTGATTTTAAAACGGGCAAAGTGCTTACATAGACATTTGCCTAAAGAAGATATACAAATGGTCGACAGGCACATGAAAGATCTCAAAATCACTAATCATTAGGGAAATGCAAATCAAAACCATGGTGAGATACCACTTCACACCCATAAGGATGGCTACTATTGGAAAAAAAAAAAAAAAAAAAAAAGTAAGTGTGGTGTGGACATGGAGAAACTGGAACCATTATGCCTGGCTAGTAGAAATGTAAAATGGTATAGCCACTGTGGAAGACAGTACAGTGGTTCCTCAAAAATTTAAAAATAGTATTACCATGTGATCCAGCAATTCTACTTCCAGGTATATACACCTAGAAATTGACAGCATAGTTTTGAAGATACATTTATACAGCCATGATTATAGTGGCATTATTTATAATAGCTAAAACACAGAATGATCTCCAATGTTCATCAACAGATGAATGGGTAAACAAAATGAAGAATGTAAATACAACAGAATAGTATTCGGCTTTAAAAATGAGGGAAATTCTGACATAGTACAGTATAGCTGAAACTTGAGGGCTTTTGCTAAGTGAAATAAGCCAATCACACAAAGAAAAATACTACATTATTTTACTTATGTGAGATGCCTATAATATTCAAATTTATAGAGTCAGAAAGTAGAATGGTGGTTTTTCAGAGAACAACGGGAGGAATGAATGGGGAGTTATTGTTTAATGAAATGAGTTTTAGTTTTGCAACGTGAAAATATTCATGAAGATAGAGGGTAGTGATGGTTGTACAACATTATGAATGTATATAACACCACTAAATTGTACACTTAAAAAGGTTAAAATGGCAGTTTTATATTACATGCATTTTACCACAAGAATAAAACTGGAAAGCAAATGCATCAGTAAGTGTATTGTCAAAATGAGTATAACCAGACAAAGAATTTTAAAACACTTATATTTTGAAGTTCTAATTACCATATCAGGACCACACATGGAACCATCTTGTACAAATGTTTCATCTCTGTCTTCAGTAAAATAATACATTGTGGTTGAACTAGGTGGCTTTTCTGGAACTGGCTTTGTCCTGGGTAGAACTGCAGACACACATGTTTGGTCTCGTACATGTGCATAAATCACAGATAAATTTGGACGTGATATTAAATCTCTGTGTTCCCATGCACAGACTAATTTTCCACATAGAATATGTCTAGAAGCATACGAAAGAAAAAAATTACCTTATTGTTTATTGAAATAACAGATTGCTGATATAGTGAAATTTTTAAAAAGTATTTTACTAATTTAAATCCAAATTTCAACAATTTTCTCTCAATACATATTTTTTGCATAATGACTTATGATATGGTTCTTTTTTGTTTCATGAGGCTGTCTGGCAAGTGAAAAACCAGTGGTTTTTACACTGTGACAGCTGTGATCAGTTCTACAATAGTTGCTGAAATTTGAGAAATCTCCGGTCTTCAGTTTTTTCAATAGTATAAGGGATAAGTAATTCTTACACACATTTGATATATATAAACATGTATGTTTATAACCTATATTATAAATATATAATATATAAGCTGCATAACAATGTCTAGCTCATCACAACAATAAACAGAGGCCATTTTCATAGTCATTGTTGTTTTAACATTACAGGCACTGAACACATATTCTTGTAGGCAGTGGATAATACTGTCCAGCTCATATTATGTAATAAGGAAAACCTGACCCCCAAAATGCCATTTTACTGCATATGTTTTCCAGTATTTTAGCAATCTCTAACCTGAATTTCAAATAGATTTATAATTTTCTAATTACATACTGAAAAAAACAATATTGTCTGCCACAGTTTCCAAAGTTGTCTCCTCTGGTATTTATTTCATCAAAACAGAAAATCGGAGCACCACTTGCACCTATGAACAGCAACAAAAACTTAAGTAAATTACAACACAGAACTTAAGTTATAGCATAGAAATGATAGACTCAATCTAGAAATTATAATGTGATCCACAGGAAAGTTTATAATTACCCAGAACTAAAAAATTTCTGGGGGCAGAGCTAGGATTAAAAAGCAAACTCCTTTTTCTAAGGCTAGAAGACTTTCTTCTGCATCAGACAGAAAACAAACAGCAACATTATTAGAATGGTTCCGTGTTGTTAGGCAGATATGCAACTGTCGTCCTCTCTATTTCCTATAAATTATTGACTTCCTGCATTACTTCCCTGTCCGATGTGAACAAGCTGTTTACTCTTATTCCAAATGAAATGGTAGAAAAATAGTATCTGTAGTGCAATAATGATAACAAACACAAAGAACATTTAACTCTCCTTTCTCCACCCTAGAGTCCTCATACATCATTAGATTATTATCAGTTCCTAATAATTATTAGATGATCCTTATCACTAAATAAAAATTGTTGGATTTTAAACTTACGAGAATATCAATGTTCATCTACTTCAACCCTTTATATATTTAGTTACATCTAATTTTAAAATTTTGAAAAATTCAAACATCTATAATAACTGTCCTATTACTATGACTGGGTAGTTTAGAGGTAGCTTACATTGATCATGTTAGTCATATGTAATCAAAAGAGAGATCATTTGTTGTTAACACTATGAATTAACAAGAGAGCTCTCTTCAATAATTTCACAGATTTTCATACTTGGAGAACACGATCTACAAAGTTCATTCTCTTGAGGGGCACAATTCATACATGTACAAGATGCTACAGAACAGGCCAGGACAGATACCATGAGTGAAATCCATCAGCAGCAGTAATTCTTTTTTGATAAAGCCTACTCTTGAACTCACCCCAAAAGTAAACAGCTTTTGTGTGCATTTCTCCAAAGCGCTTCTTTGATTAAGTCTAATTTAAATTTTGCAGTTCCTCTAAACTATATACAGAGCCATAATTCAGATGGCTCAAAATTTAAGGTATAACTCAAGAATAAAAGATAAATAACATCTGAAGGCAATAGTATAAAGAAATCAAAATTAGCGTAAGAAAAATCTATGATGAAAAAAATACTAAAACTCTAGACAGGGACAGGTCATTTTTTCGTAACCCTGCTTTACTGAGGAACAAGCACAGCCTTTGCAATTAGCCAGTGGTTCCCTAGTGAGGCCCAGGAAGCCTTCTCTGCAAACTTCTGAAGCCCGCTGACCCAATCCAGAGTGGTCCCCGCAGCCCACTTTGTCCAGGAGAAAAAGCAGCAAAACATGGGATATTACCATATCCCCTGGAATCTCCTGCAATTCTTAATAGCCTAACATCTCTCTGGTGCCCCTTTCCAGCTCCGTTTTTGAGGGTCAGGATGGAAGGAATTCCTGCGGGTTTTTTGTTTGTTTGTTTGTTTGGTTGGTTGGTTGGTTTTGACTCTTGAGGCCCCGTTGCTCTGGGCGACCCACTGCTGGCCAGAAATTTCGTTTCCTCCCAGGATGATGATACCCGTGCAGGACAGTCCTGCCACCTAATTATTCAAGGGCTCTGGGAGATTTAGGCATTTTCTTCAGCAGCTTTCTTATTCCTGCCTCCAATTCATGGGCTTTGAGCTGAGGTCTCCACAACACCTAAAAGCACAGTTTAGGAAAGGCTGTGACTAGAAGTTAAGTTGGGAAATTTTAGGACAAATCCTTGTGACATCCGAAGTCACTGTGCTGGCATTTCAAGGTGCACAGTCAATAGTGGGAAAGACAATGTCAAAGGCTGGTCATGTTAGGAACCGCAATCACCTGCAGTGGAAATGCTCTTGGAGGAGATTCTTTATAAGATTGTCTGGGTGTATTTTTTGTTCTGTTGTGTTGTGGGGTTTTTTGCCTGGTATGGGCCAAGTAAAAGTCATGACTTGTTTGGGAATTTGTTTCTGTTTTTCTTTTCTTCCTTTTCTTTCTTTTCTTATACAGCTGCAAAAATCATTGGACACAACACATCTATTTCGTGGATGCTTATGTAATTGTTCACTTTGGTTGTTAATTCCTTGTGTTGTGTAACAGTGCTTTCCCACCCCATCTGAATCCCAGAGCAGGCCTGTGATGAAGGCTCACAGGTATTTGTGTTTCTGCTTATTTGGTTAGGAAAACCAATGTCCTGCACTTGGTTACTTTGACTACTACTATAAGCTACTAGTTCTAAATTTGGTCCCTTTGGGGCATCAGAATTGAGATGTAGAGGAAATGCAAATAAAAGAAGGCATCATTTTAGTCTCCTGCAGTTAAATATCTGAAGCAGGGAGAAGATAAAGGTGAGATGAGATAGTTCCATAAAACTAGATTCCATATAAAAATATTTCCAGACCATATCTATTACTAAAATGTCTAATTGAGCAAGAAGTATCAAAATATAATAAAACAGGCCCTAGCTGGGGACAGAGGGTCTCATAAATATATTCTCTGTTATAAAATCGAAAGAAGTTGCAAACAGTGCGGACCTATGCTTGGATTGCCAAGGCTAAAGTGGCTGGACTGAGTAGCACATTAGTAAGCAAAGAAAATAAAATTATGCAATTTTCACAATTAGAATTTACTCAAGTAAGCTGAAATTAATTGAATCTCATACAATCTTTAATCTCTTCAACCAATCTTTGAAGTTTGATATCATCAGTGGCTCTTGGACCAAGTCTCCTGTAGCTTTTAATCATGCCAGAGTAGAGTGAAATGTTATATAGGTTCCATGAAGTTATGATTCTATGTTACATTGGCTATAGGGGAGTATAAACTTTTTAAGGAATAGCTTCAATACCCTATTTTATCACCTAGCCATGATTTGTCAGCTAAAGGAAGAACTTTGTCTGAAATAGTCAAAAGATTATTGACTATTCATAATTATTCAAAAGAAACTTCTGAAAGACATCTATAAATTTAAGAATGTCCAGGATTAAATGGTTATATGCACAACTGGTTCCTAATTTTATGCAATACTAAGTTCCATATATAATTTTACTTTTTCAAACATGTCAGAATTTCTTTCAGTGAACTGAGATGTAAAAGGTGCCTTCAGGACCTCAAAGCAGCCTTCAGTAATCATCTTTATTGTGTTTTCCAGCTTATCATAAATGTTAGTGTCTATGTGTTCAGTAAAGCTCAATTATATAAAGTCATATTATAGGAATATTTACCCAACTGCCCAGTGCTCATCAAAGTTCCATCAGCTGTTTATAGTCTGTTTCTTAAATTCAGAGCAATTGCAGCTTTAGATAAATTAGTTGAAGCATCCTCAGACCTTGTACAAGGATTACATTTAAATTTTATAGTGCTATATACTAAATAAGCCTGAACATACATGCTGAAAACTCCAAACATATTTTGTCAGTTGATTAAATAATCATGAAATATTGTGTTTTTCTCCTCATGCAACTATTCGTTAATTCAGCAAATCTTTTATACTTCCTTAGTAAGTATCCTTCTATGGTTTGGAAAATATCTATGCCCAGAGCCAATCTTTGTGACACCTTCCTAAGAATACTGATCCAATATGGTTTTTGATAGATCTTATCTTAAAATTGAAAAGGAAACCAGGTTGGTTTCGCAAAAACTGCTCAGACTTTAGTGTGGAATGTAATCCTCTTTCAGAGTCTTAATCAGCATAAGTAGTCAAACTTTTGGCCCTCTCTAGAGAAGGAGGTCTCAATGTAGCATGACTGACATAATTCTTCGTTGTAGAGGCTATCCTTTATCCTTTGTATTGTAAGCATTTAGCAGCATCCCTGATCTCTATTCGCAAGAAGCCAAGATCCACTCCACCCAAGCTGTGACAACTGAAAGAGTCTCCAGGCATTCTGTCCAGTGGGCAGAGGCCACGGAGCTGCCAAATATTCTACAATGCACAGGAGAAACACTCCCTACCCCGACTCCTCACAAAAAAGTATGATCTGGCCTAAAATATCACTGGTGCTGAGGTTGAGAAACCCTTACATAACTGTTGGATTAGCACTTACATTTGTCTAGATGATATACAACTCAAGTTGGTGATAAAGCCCTCTAATAATATGCAGAACTTTACAACTAATGAGACTTTCAAACTTATTGGGGCCAATATAACTGCAATCCAAATAGGAAGTTTCTGCATCTGTGGAGATAACACTGAAGAGGAGCATACTGTAAGGGCCAGACACTTACAAAACCAAAATTTGGTAAAGAGCTTAGAAAAAGGTGGTGACCTGTTAAGGTGTTTGTCCTTTACTCGTTTAATTTTTTTGGAAAGAAAAAACTTAAATTCATTCTTTTACCATAGATCTATAGATTTCCCTACTTTAAATGCTATTGCTTGATAAACAAGCTATGCCTTTTGATATGACTTCATCAGCATATTTTGTCCAGAAACCAACAATTTGGGGGCACATGATGATTTTTATTAGGTCTGTGATATAAGAATCTTTATTGTTTGTTTCCTACAAATAGTATATATGTTTTAGCATACAAAACTAATGCCTACTTCAGAAGTATATCAAACCCTGCTCAAGGATCATTCTAGTTAACCATGACAGGTCACAGATGACCTAGTCAAAAAATTGGACATTTTTAGGGATCACATGTCATAATTTAATAATACTACTACCTTATATTTACTGAGTACAGTCATGAGTTGCCTAATGATGAGGGTATGTTCTGAACAATGTGTCCATTGTTGTGTGAACATCAGACAGTGTATTTAAACAAACCTAGATGGTATAGCCTACTACACACCTAGGCTATACGGTATAGCATATTGCTCCTAGGCTCTAAACCTGTATAGCATGTTATTGTACAAAGAATTGGATCTAATATGCATTGAAATATAGCTACTATTGAGGGCAAATTTTCAACAGCCTTCTATTGCCCTCAGGAGGCTAGCGAAATGAGACAGTTTTTCAAAAATAAGGACAAAAACTAACTGGTAGTCAGGTGCAGAATTATCATGTTCTAGATGCATTAACACAAGTGGTCACTAGAAGTGGACATACATTATTTTAAAATCAAGATGCTTTAGAAATCATCCTTGCCTCCCCAACCAAAAAACTGTACTATTTGGGCCAAATACCCCTGTACTCCAACAGTTCTCACAAAGGACTTCAAAATCTCTCAAAATCACTGATAATACTAAATATGCAGTGAATGGCATTACCTGAAAGACACCTGACTGGCAACCCACTATGTGGCTCTAATTAAATTTGCCTAGCATTGAGTCCTGGCTTTACTTGAAGAAACGTTAATTACAGATCTGGAGTACTGTCCCATTCCTCCTAATTTTACTGGCCATTTGTTTGCATGGTTTTGTTTTTGTTTTTGTTTTCCAAGACAAAAACAGGCTTGTCTTCTGAGACAAGGTCTTGCTCTGTTGCCCAGGCTGGAGTGTAGTGGCACAATCTCAGCTGACTGCAACCGCTTCCTCCTGGATTCAAGAGATTCTCCTGCCTGAGCCTCTCAAGGATGCCAGGCTACTTTTTGTATTTTTAGTAGAGACGGTGTTTCCCCATGTTGGCCAGGCTGGTCTCTAACTCCTGACCTTATGATCCATCTGCCTTGGTTTCCCAAAGTGCTGGGATTACAGGCATGAGCTACTGCACCTGGCCCTTTGTTTGTATGTAACAATGTTTCAAAGTCTGTAGCTATTGCCTTGCTACATGGTACAAATAATGATTCTCTTAGCAAAGCAGAACAAAATTACAATAATAATCAAAACCTTCATCTCACCTTCTTAAATTCCTGGCAGTCACTTTGATCTAGACAATATTTAGAAATCTCTTCTATGACCTGGTTAGAGAAGACCTCAAGGGAGGGTTAAGAATGAAAAATTTCACTCTCTCAGAGAACGTGCTCTGCAAACATTAAGTAATCTGTGTCTTCCAATGAAGCAAATGACATTTACAGAAAATTATCAAAATTGACTAAATTGGTAGTGAACTGAAGCTCTCACTTTTGAAACCCAACTAATCAGTGATTAGCAATGCTTTCCTCTTGATTAAAAAATAAAAAAATAAAAAAACTCTTGTTTCTTTTAAGTCTAAACTAAAATCCTCACCACAAATTTTATATAGTATTTTGAAAAACTGCATTTTCACTTGAGGTTTCTTTTCTATAGGAACAAGAATTCCATATAAACTCAGAGAGGTTTTTTGTTGTATTTCACAATCAAAAAAAATCTTGTTTTTATGCCAAGCACAGTGGCTCACACCTGTAATCCCAGCACTTTGGGAGGACGAGGCGAGCAGATCATTTGAGGCCAGGAGTTTAAGACAAGCCTGGCCAACATGGTGAAACCCCATCCCTACTGAAAACACAAACTTAGCCAGGGGTGATGGTGTGCTCTTATAATCCCAACTACTGGAAAGGCTGCAGCAGGAGGATCATTTGAACCTGGGATGCAGAGATTGCAGTTAGCTGAGATCAGGCCACTGCACTACAACCTAGGAGACAACAGGAAACTCCATCTCAAAAAAGAAAAAGATAATTTTTTTTTCTTTAACACTAATATACATTATGCAAGAATTCAGTCATTAAAACATATGTTTACATTTTTGTTCCATAGAATTCATTAACAGACTTTGGCATAATAAGAATTTAGTGACTAAGAAGAAAATTATAATTATTACCTTTTCCGAATAAATCATCACACTGTTTGTCAAAACTCCGACACCTTCCTTTAAAACAGAAGGCTGCACCCGAATCACAATATTCTCCATCGCGTACATAAGTGTCAGGCATACATTGTGAAAGGTTACCATTGCAAAATTCAGTGAAATCGCATTCCTTATCAACTGATTTCCTACAAATTGTATCAACTGGTTTGAACTAGGAAGAAAGAGAAACATAAAATATTAAATATCCATGATATTTAATTTTTATTTCGCAGTAGGCTCTAAATGCCGGTCCATTTTTTTCCCATAAGTTTCTAATAGCAATTAGAAAATTAAATCTTCTTGTTAACGACTTAAGCATCATACGGTATTCTTAATAAATATCTCCTTTTAAAACCTGCAATGTTTTTAAAATGTTTATGATAAGGATTTATCATTTTATAAATGGCTGCTGATTTCTTCCTTGGGATTGATATGAAGAAACTAGAAACTGTGTAACTGAGCATAGCCATAAGGGTTTACAAGTAATTTTTATATTCCCTAGCTTCACTTTGTCTTTCTTTCCTTTATGGACGTCTGCTTATCTTTGAGTTTCTAGCTTCTCTTACAAGCATTACCCATTTTTTTATGCACAAGAAATTTAATCACATAAATGATTAAGATATTCTAGGAACACAAAGAAAATTTCATATTTATTTCAAATTTTATGTTGCAAAAAACTTAAAAATAGCTTCCATGAGTACGTATTTCTGATCTCTTCAGCATTTACTCGTTAGCTGATAGCTTCTGGCCTTCCCTTTTTACAAACCTGCTTTTTCTAAGAAGCATGTAATCATCATCTCTGAATACTCTTCTTTCTTCAACACATGCCCCAATCTCCCATGGCTGTGGTCATTATCCTATACAAAGTAAATAAAAATTTTCCTAGCCTTCAAAGGTACTGAAGGCCCAGCTTACATAACATTTATTTATCTTCTCAAAATTGGTTTCTGCCAACTTTTTCTTAAGTTTTCAAGTATTTACTATCTGCAACAAATCTCACACAAATTCTACAGGTGGTGGATGAGCAGACAAATTCAGTATCTACTTGTGTCTCTCAAGTTTATAGAGTAAACATTTAATTCAAAACCAATGATTCAAAGTGTTTATAAAGGAAAATTTGCATATGTATAATGAGAAAGTATCAATACTTGTTTCTTCAGAATTTGTTTCCTTTTACAAGGGAAATGTTATTCTAACATGTTTTAAAAATACCTATGAACATTCACTTCCTCAAATGGTTTTTGAATCAAGTTTTATCATCTGGCTGGCTCCTCCACTGAGAGGTTAAAAAAAACTCTTTTAAAAATATTTTATGATCACCATTCTAACTGGCATGAGATGGTATCTTAATGAGGTTTTGATCTGCATCTCTCTAATGACCGTGATGAGCTTTTTTTCATATGTTTGTTGGCTGCATAAATGTCTTATTTTGAGAAATGTCTGTTCATATCCTTTGCCCACTTTTTGTGGGTTTTTTTTCTTGTAAATTTGTTTAAGTTCTTTGTAGATTATGGATATTAGCCCTTTTTCAGAAGGGTAGATTGCAAAAATTTTTTCCCATTCTGTTGGTTGCTGGCTCATTCTAAAAAATCAGGAGACAATAGATGCTGGATAGGAAGTGGAGAAACAGGAATGCTTTTACACTGTGGGTGGGAATGTAAATTAGTTCAACCATTGTGGACGACAGTGTGGTGAGGAATTCCTCAAAGATCTAGAACTAGAAATACCATTTGACCTAGCAATACCATTACTGGGTATATACCCAAAGGATTATAAATCATTCTATTTTAAAGACACATGCACACGTATGTTTATTGCAGCACTGTTCACAATAGCAAAGATTTGGAACCAACCCAAATGCCCCTCAATGATAGACTAGATAAAGAACATGTGGCACATATACACCATGGAATACTATGCAGCCACAAAAAAGGATGAGTTCATGTCCTTTGCAGGGACATGGATAAAACTGGAAACCATCATTCTCAGCAAACTGACACAAGAACAGAAAACCAAACACTGAATGTTCTCACTCATAAGTGGGTGTTGAACAATGAGAACATATGTACACAGGGAGGGGACCATCACACACTGGGGCCTGTTGGGGATGGGTAGGGAGATAGGGGAGGGAATAGCAGGGGATGGGGCAATAGGAGAGCTATAGCATTAGGAGAAATACCTAATGTAGATGACTGGGTGATGGATGCAACCAACCACCATGGCACATGTTGTAACAAACCTGCACATTCTGCACGTGTACCCCAAAACTTAAAGTATCATAATTTAAAAAATATTTTTATTTTGTAGGTATATGAGAGTCATGACTTTAGAATATTGAAAAAATATATTTTCACAATCATGGAGATAAAATTAAATAAACTGAATTGTATGGTTCAAGAAGTGCACCTCATGGGCTCATCTTTTTATGTTCTGGATCTCAACTTTATTGTTATTATTATTATTATTATTCAATAATTTGAGGGAACAGGTAGTGTTTGGTTACATGGATAAGTTCTTTAGGTGTGATTTCTGAAATTTTGGTGTACCCATCACCAAGTCAATGTACACTGCACTCAACGTGTAGTCTTTCATCCCTTACCCAACTCCCATACTTTCCCTCAAATCTCAAGAATGCATTATATTACTCTTAAGCCTTTGCATCCTTATAGCTTAGCTCCCACCTATGAGAACATATGATGTTTGGTTTTCCATTCCTGAGTTACTTCACTTAGGATAATGGTCTCCAATTCCATCCAGGTTAGGCTGAGTTGCATTCCACTGTGTATGTGTGTGTGTGTGTGTATATACATTGTATATGTGTATGTGTGTGTGTGTGTATGCATATACACACAATGCAATTCTCATCAAGATACCATCATCATTCTTCACAGAACTAGAACAACAATCCTATAATGTAGAGAACACAAAAAGAGCCCACATAGCCAAAACAAGACTAAGCAAAAATGACAAATGTGAAGGTATCACATTACCTGTGTGTGTGAGTGTATATACATACACATACATATATACACATACATACATTAGCTATGTGTGTATGTGTACACATATGTACGCACACATACATATATATGTGTACACACACACACACACACACACACTCTCACATGCACATATATATATACCACAAATTCTTTCCAATTGTTGGTTCTTTATCCACCTGTTGGTTGATAGTCATTTAGACAACTTCCATATTTTTGCAATCATGAATTGTGCTGCTGTAGACATGTGTAAACAAGGGTCTTTTTCATATAATGACTTATTTTCCTCTGGGTAGATACCCCAGAGCAGGATTGCTGGATCAAATGGTAGATCTACTTTTGGTTTAAATTTATATTAAAAATTTGAAATATCTTGATACAATCCCTAATAATCACACAATATACTAAAACTTACCAGATTCAGCAAAAATCATTCTAGTGGGGAAGTTTATAGCAATAAACATCTACATCAAAAAAGAAGATATCAAACAATCAACCTAACATTAATTACACCTCAAGGAACTAGAAAAACCAAAGTTCAGTATTAGTAGAAAAAAATGAAATAAAGATAAGAACCGAAATAAATGAAATAGAGACTAGAAAAAAAGCAATGAAACTAGTAGATATTGATCAAGATCACCAAATACATTGTTTATTTCCTGGTAATATTAACCAGTCTTGAACACAGCAATATTATTCTAACATTCTTTTGTTTCCAAATCCTATTTATATAGTTTTGTTGCATACTTTTGAACAAGCCTATTATTCTTCCTAGTTCCCTCATTAATGAGTTCAATAAAACTCTGACATGTAAATTTTATTTTCAGAGTAGCCCTTTTGAATTTATTGAAAATTATGCTTTTCTCAGAGTCACTTCATTATTTTTGGTTATTCGTGTGTGTGTGTGTGTGTGTGTGTGTGTGTGTGTGTCCAAAAATCTGTGGCAATCTCAACATAAAATGATTATAAAGAATGACTTACTGAATTAGCATATTTTCAAAAAACAATTCCAAAAATATATATTCATTCCACCCCAAATATATACCTGTTAAATAATTAGAACAAATGCTGTTTTTAAGGTTAGGAAATTGTGAGCCTATAATGTGACTTGACAAGATGGGTAATGGATTGTTTTTATTTTTAAAAGGTTTATTACATATTTATTCATTATTGCCAAAATTTTGAAGTAAACAAAATGTCTTTCAATAAATAAATACATACATCAACTCTGGTATATTCATATAATTGAATATTATCCAGCAATAAAAAGCAATTAGCTACCAGGCAGTGAAATACAGCTGTGGAACACAGATGAACTATAAATGTATGCTGGTAATCAGAAGAAGCCAATCTGAATAGACTACATGCTGTATTCTTACAACTATATGACATTCTGAATGACTGAAGTATAGACACAAATTTAAATCCAAACATTCTGATTTCAGTTTTGTTCTATTATGCCACATGGTTTCTCATATTATTTTCAATAACATCTCCACATTCTTATTTACCTTTTCTTTTTAGAGATATCAACTGCTCCACTGACATACTGGATAACGTTTCCATCATTCTACAATTCTCACTTTAAAACCTTCAAGGTTACCATTTTAATAGATATTTCCCACAGCCTAAAAATATGCTCAAATTGTTTTATTTTCACTTATTATCAACTAACACAACTTTTGAGTCCACAATCACCAAATTCAGGAGAAACATGTTTCTTGGCTACTAGGTGGGAGTTCATCTTTGTCAGGGTGATCTTTTCTGTTTTTAACTTTATTGAGGTTTAATTCATAATTTACATACCATAAAATTCATCTATATTAAGTGTACAAGTTAGTGCTATTTTAAGAAAATTTATGTATTTGTGCAACCAGCACCACAATCCAAGTTTAGGACATTTCTACTACCATAGGATAAGATCCCTGGTATCCATTTATAGTTAATCCCCATGCTTGTGGCTGGCCCCAGTAATCACTAATCTACTTACTGTCTCTATAAAGTTGCCTTTTGGAACCTTTTCTACAAATAAAATTGTGAAATATAAGGATTTTGTATCTAGCTTCTCTAGTATAGTAGAGTTTTTAAGATTTTAGTATGTATGAGTATTCTGTCATGTTTATTGTTCTCTAGTATTCCACTGTATGGCTATATCATAATTTTTTGCCAATTA